TGCGGGGGGTGCTAAAGCTGCTTGAGACCCCTTACCACAGCGAGGGGGAGGCCTCCGAGGCACCTGCGGCCCCTGAGTCCGAGGAGGCTAGCGGGGCGGCTGGCGGGCAGCACTACTACAGCAGGCCTCCCCTCTGGGCAGCAGGGCTGTGTGTGACGTGATCTTCGTAGTGGCCTCGGCACCCTCCAGTACCCGGAGTTCCCGAGGCCCCCAGTGCTGCTGCAACGCTGAGGTGTGATGGGCTTCTGTCTGGCCAAGCCAGCCCAAACCTGCCTCTCTATGACGGCAGAGATATCCAGTCAGTCCTGACCCATCTCTGTCTGATGCTGACACAACAGCACAGCCCTGCCGGCACCCACGCCCATGCTGAGTTGCTTCATGTGAGGACAGGAGCCTAGCCTCATGCCACTGGGTGATGTGGGGACACTGGGCCCTGGGTAGGCGCGGCAGCCCCTCTGCCCACACCCCTGCCCCATGTCTACCAGGGCCTTAAATAAACCAGGAGTGTCCTCAAGACTGTCTCTGTGTGGTCATTCTCCTCTCCTGCCCAGCCCCACCCAGTAAAGGTGATGGTGGACCTAAGGCACCTGGCAGCTGGCTGTGGCCTCAGGCATCCTGGTAGTAGCTGTTGAAGTTGATGTTCAGCAGGAAGTCTTCCAGGTGGGGCTGGTAGCCACGGTTCACCAGTTTTGTCACCACTGAGGAAGCACGGCCATTCAGACTCCTGCCAGACTCCTGCCAGCCTCCAGCCCCCACCCTGGGCACCCCTGTAGACCCTCCAGCCAAGGCTGGGCTCACCTTTGAAGAGGAAGTGGGAATAGTACTTGAAGGTATTGTAGGACTGCTGCATGAGGGCGAAGTTGGGATGCTCGGCGCCCCGGGGACCACCAGCGGGACCCCAGGCCTGGGAGATGAGCTGGCTACGGAACTTGAGCACAAGGCTGAAGATGCTGTGAATGATGTTCATGACGGGCGCCGCCTTCTCCGTCAGCAGGCCTCTGGGGAGAGTGGTATTGCTGCCGGGCTGGCCCAAAATGGGGCACGGCCCCCAGAGCCCACAGTCTCACCTGAAGACAGCCTTGTGCAAGTAGTCTGCATGGGCACGCTGGATCTCCTCGAGATCACCCACCACGGCCAGCCGGGCCCTGAACTCGCACCAGCTGACGTGCAGGATCTGACTGGCCACATAGCCCTGGATGACCTTCACAAAGTGCTGCATCTCGTGCTTGAAGAGCTGCAGCTGGCGGAGCTGCACGGAGCCGGCTGTGTGGCTCAGCAGTGCTGCAGAGGACAGAGAGTGAGTTGCAGCCTGCAGCCACAGGGCACCAGGCTCCAGACGGACCTCACCTGTGCGCTTGAGCTGGAAGCAGATGTCCTTGAGTGTCCACATCATCAGCTTCAGCTGCAGCAGGAAGGAGAAGATGCCGCCGTACTGGCTCAGGCAGCTCTCGGTGATGACGATGTTGAGGGGCCAGTCGACCTGCTCGGAGGGCTGGGCTTAGCACACTGCCCGACGCAGGGCAGGCCCCTCCACGGTCCCCCAGGACAGTTGCTGACCTTGTACCTGAGCTCCAGGCAGCTCAGCACATCCGGGGCATTGGGGGCAAACACCTCGGGCAGGTACTTGAGGGCGAAGGAGAGGTTGGCAGCATGTGGGCTGTCTCCATGCAGGCTGTACTGCAAGGCCTTGCTCAGGATGGAGTTGAGGGCCAGTGGGCTGAGCAGCTCCCCCGGTGTCTGCCCAGCCCCAAGCTGAAGTGAGAAAGGAACAGGAGTCCGGGGAGTCGGGCACTCAGTTGGGAGCTGCAGCCCTCCCATCACCAGGCCCTGGCGCCCGTACTCTGCCAATGCCGCAGGGCCACAGGCTGCTTCTGGGGGCCACTATGGCGGGCAGTAACCCTTTGCTTGGGACTCCCCCCACGCCAGCCCACCCAGACTGGGGAGGTCACCTTTTCAAAGAGCAGGTCACTGAGGGACTGGGCAAATTCGCCATCCTCCATCAGCAAGAAGTGGCGCAGTGCCTCCAAGTGTGACTCAAGCTGCATCTCCACAAAGAAGTAGTCTACGATGGCCTTGTTCACCAGGGAGACGCTGGGGAGGGGCCTGGGCTCAGCAGCAGGTGGGGTGGGGAGGGGCAACAGAGCAGGGCAGGCAGGGTGCAGGCACTCACTGGGCAGCAGAGCAGGGCAGGCGGGGTGTATAGGCACTCACTGGGCAGGGCAGGCGGGGTACAGGCACTCACTGGGCAGCCAGTGGGGCGGTGATGGAGCGCTTCATGAGCACTGGCAGCGTCAGCAGCTCACTGAGCTGCACCGCAGTCTCGTCTGCAGCTGCCTGGATCTGGGGGTCCACAGGGAAGGCGAAGGCCCGAGGAACCACGTGGTGAAGAAGGTGGGCGACAGGAGGCTCTGCTGCATGAGATGGACTGTCACCGGCACGCTGGCCTGCGTCTCATGTCTCACCCCCGGAGCCCGCGCACTCACACATGGACTCGTAGCAGTCCGGATATGGCTCTAGGTGGTACTGTCGTGCCAGGCCTGCCAGGTAGGCCTGCTCCGCATGCCGCCCCTCAGCCACCGCCTCCGCTGCACCTGGGCTCCTCTGAGTGGCTGCCTCTTCCTAGGAAACGGAGGACCTCAGTCCGCCTAACATGGGCCGCACTGCCCGTCCCCAACCCCAGGCTGTGCCCGTCCTGACCTGCAAGCTTAGAGGCCGGTCTGGAGAGAGGTCCTCGGTGTCCTTGCTGCTCCCCAGGCCTGAGCAGGCACAAGAGGACAGAAGAGGATCAAGGTCGAGTGCCTGCCAGGCAGTCCCGTCTGGGCCCGCAGGATGGCAGTGCAGGCCCTGGCCGACAGCAGGGCCTGAGGACAGCGCTAACCTCCCCACTGGCTTGAGCTCTAGGGGCCCCACAGCCCTACCCAGGACCACCAGTTGCCCCACTCTGACCTGGTTCCTCAGAGGCACTGTCTCCCAGAGTGCCGGGTCCAACCACAGTGGGAGGCGAGGTTGGGAGGCTACTCTCCTCCCCACTGCCTGAGCCAGACTGGCAGATGGAGGGCACTACTTCCACAGGTGGCTGCAGCCTACATTCCAAGAGAGGGCGCTGTGTTCCCAGACTGAGGCCTGACTGGAATCCATCACCAGGGCATCTCCGCTGGGGCCTGGACACCATGGGCTCGTCTTTAGATGAGAGCTCCCCCAGCACCACGTAGGACTGAGAAGTGTGGGTGCTCCACCGTGGCCGGGAGGGGACTGACATGTTCTCCCCAGCCTGGATGCCGCAGTCTAACATGTGCCCATGGACACTCCACCCTGGCAGAGAGGGGTCCACATTTGACATGTTCTCCCCAGCCTGTACGCTGGAGTCTGACACATGCCCGTGGGCGCTCCACTGTAGCGGGGAGGGGGCCACGTCCAACACGTTCTCCCCGACCCGGATGCTGGCGTCTGACACGTGTCCGTGAGAGCTCCACCGTGGCCGGGAGGGGGCCACGTCTGACACATTCTCCCCGACCCGGATGCTGGCATCTGACACGTGTCCGTGAGAGCTCCACCGTGGCCGGGAGGGGGCCACGTCTGACACGTTCTCCCCGACCCGGATGCTGGCGTCTGACACGTGTCCGTGGGCACTCCACCGTGGCCGGGAGGGGATCACGTCCGACACGTTCTCCCCAACCCGGATGCTGGCGTCCGACACGTGTCTGTGGGTGCTCCACCGTGGCCGGGAGGGGGCCACGTCCGACACGTTCTCCCCTACCCGAATATTGGCGTCTGACACGTGCCCGTGCAGCCAGGTGGGGGCCAATCCAGAGGAACAGTCCCCTGTGGGAACACTGTCCCCTGACGTCTGCCCAGGGAGCTGCTGCGTGGACTTGCTGTACTCAGCCTCAGGAGTGCCAGGCCTGAGCAGCTCTGCCTGAGGTGTAGCCACCTGCATGTCAGAGCCAAGTGTGTTCAGTTTCATGCTCAGAACCCCCCCATGCTGTGGCCCCTCACTGCCCTCTACTGCCTGGAGGGGCTCTGGTCCAGGAAAGGTGGCCACCGCTGGTCTCAGGATGGTCCGAAAGTCATACTCCTGCAACACAGGAGGCTGTGTGCAGGCCACAGCAGTTGCCTCCCCAGGGGGCCCAGAGGGTCCAGGGGGCAGGTTTGAGCGAATGGTCTGCAATGCCTCCTCTAGGAGAGGGACAGTGTTGGTCTGCACGGAACGCCCAGCCCCCAGGCCCATGGGCAGGAAGTCTCCAATGCTGACACCGACAGTGAATGGCTCCACCTCTTCTGCCTGCCTGGCCTCCACCGCTGGGCCCTGGGGGGGCTGCGGCAGCTGCACGCTCACTTTGCCGGAGCAGTCAAAGGAGGCTGAGTGCTGCTCTGTGCGCATGGAGTCACAGCCACAGCGTCCGTCTGGGTGCTCAGGGCCGGGAGATACGACCTAAAACACAAGTGCACACTAGACCCACCAGAAATCTGGTCTCATGCCTCCCTCTGGCAGTCTAACTGACCTGCCCCACCAGCTTCAGCTCTGCAACTTTGATGGGCACCCGCCAAGGACTATGGGTACATTACTCCTGTCACGTGTCCATAGGTATCCACCATAGCCATAAGGGAGCCACGTCTGGCGCATTCAGCTCTTGAGTACCAGACCCTCACCTGGAAATGTGCGCACAGGACAGGCAGCGACTCCTGGGGTTTGTGGACCTTGGACACACCTTTCAGCATCCCCTGAAACTCAAGTCAGCAAGCTGAGATGCAGCAGCTGTGAGGACGATCAACAGAGCCAGCACCCGCCCCGGGCCAGCGTCCACACCACACAGCAGCTCAAGCCTGCCAGGCACCCCCAACTGCCACATGCAGAGCCAGGGTTGCTCCTCACCCTCCGTGCCCCCACAGCACAGCGACAGAAAGCAGCAAGGCGGCGCCACACGAGAATGACAAGCCGCCGGAGAGGCACACGGGTGTGTGTACAACCTCAGGGGCTCAGGGACCCCTAGGCCCAGGGAGGAGCTACTGTCTGAAACGGCTGATACCTGAATGCGCTCCTCATCTTCTTGGAGGAAACGAAGCCGCTCTCTCTGCAGCCGGTGCCTCTGGACTCTCCACAGCGCCTTTTGCTCCCTGCGCGCTGCCTCTGCAGACAACTTGCTGTAATGGTCCACCAGCGCCTGCCTGTGCCACACCCAGAGGACATGGTCACCGTGCTCGCTCCAACTGTCCAGCAGGTGCCCTTTGTGCACCAGTGGGCACTGTCCCCAGGCTCCTGCCAGGGATGGTCCCTCTGAGCACCCACAGGCCTTCCCACTCTCGGGACAGAGCCCCTTGCAGGCAGGTGCCAAGCAAGGCTCGGCAGACGTCTGTGAGCAACTAGCACAAGGAGACCCACAGCACTAAAGCAAGGGCAAGGGCAGAGAGCAAGACCCCGGCCTGGGGAGGGATACAGGAGAACACGGGGGCAAAACCTACAGAAACATTTGCTCTGCTTAACTCAAAGGCTGCCTCACAGGCCACACCTCCTGACTAAACCTCTCACCAGCAGAAAGTGAACTCAAGCTTGAATTGGCCATCACAGGCCAGGGACATGGCCTTCTGCCTCATCTCCTCCACGCGAACAGAGAACACCTACTGACGTGCATGCCTACACACACTTATCCCATGTGCATACACACACGTGCACAAGTGCACACGGAGACATGTATACCGCATGCTGGCTCCACGAATAGCACCTGTGGTCAAGAAGTAGCCAGCCCCTCCCACAAAGGCCTGTCTTAAACTGGCGCACACCTGCTCAAGGCTGCGGCCCTATCCCCATTTATAGGGTGAGCAGCCCCACCACGAGGAATGCAGGACAAACGCCCACACCCATCCACCAGCAGCGGGAACGGTACATAAACACATGGCGTGTGCACCACACCAGGATGCTGGCAGCAACACCCAGCTGCTTCAGGGCAGCTCAGGGTGGCCCAATAGGACAGCCCAGGTGGATGTCCTGGGTTCAGCTTACTGGCCGCACCTTAACGTATGCTTGGAAGTTTTGGAATAAAAAGTCAAACTGTCTCTGATTAAGCCTAAGCTGCAGAGCCTTACCTCGCCTTCCTCTCCAGCTCCTCCTCCAGGGCCTTCAGCCTCTTCTCCCTGTCACGGAGCTCACGGGCATAACTGAAGTCGTCCTCCAGCTCCTCCTGCCGAGCTGCCAGGCGCCGCTGCACAGCACACACAGCCTCATTTGTGAAACCCAGACTCTAGGAGCCCGACCCACTGCAGGGCAGGGACCACCCACCTCCTGATCCTTCATGAACTGCTCTTTCAGTCTCTGGAACTGCTCTCGCTTCCGGGCATCCAAGGCCATTTGTTCTGACATCTGCCGGTCTGCATTGATGCAGTAAGAGGTACAGTTAGGAGGAGTCCCAGCCAGCAGGCCAGAGCTGCAGCAGGGAGGGCTCGGGCTGTGCTCACCACTCAGTGCGTTCAGGACCCTGGAAGCCGCTTCCCGGGCATGAACAATTAATTCTTGTTTTGCAATTTCCATGCGTAATTCCTGAAAAATCAGTACACAAAGCCAGATCCTAATTGCCTGTCCTCTCACCTGGACTGGACTGGGAGGAGGAATGACTGCCTGGAACACCCCTATAGCACCGGCCACCCTCCATCTCTGCACATCGGGGTCAGCAGGTGCAACACAGCATGAGGCCTCAAGGTGATGACAAGACTGGCTCCAGGCACTGGATGGGTAGGCATACTCTCATGGAAACATCTTGGGCCATGTGTGCCCACCTTGGAGGGGGACCCATGGGTCCCAGAGAGAGAGGGCCTTCCCACCGGGATTACCCTGTGCCAACCAGGCATTGGCCCAGGAGGGCGTCCCTGAGGGTGGCGCTGATGCCACCGTCATGCCTCTCCGAGAGTGCAGGGCTCTCATCCCCACCGCAGGCGTTCCTGTCCCTTCTACCCGTCCTTTCTAAGCAGGAGAAAAGACTACGACAGCCACCTGAGTGTGGAAACCCTGGCCCTGCTGCCCTAGAGATGGTCTAAGACTAAGGCTGTCCATAGCCAGTGGCCCCAGGAAAGCCCCAGTGGAGCTGCCACATCAGCAAAGCCTGGTATAGACCAGGCTATGAAGGCCTAAGAAAAGGAGAGTCCCTGCCCTGGGCTTCTGACCCCCTCAGGCTAAGCCCTACCAGCTACTGTCCCCAGAGACACACCCAGGAGGGACCCTCCCACCTCGCACATCCCACACCCAGGGCCCTTCCCCCACCACCCACCACCCCAATACGATAGGTGCACAGCAGGGCCGGAGGCCACACCTTCTCCTCCTTGCTGACGGAGCTGTGGCGGGCTACCCTCTCCATGCGCCCAACGTAGACGGCACAGTCCTTCTCTACCTCCTTCAGCTCCTCCAGGGAGAAGATCACTGAGATCCGAGGGACTGGGATATCGGACCAACAGAGGTAATGCTGCCGGAGGGAAGTGCAGTGAGGGGTCAACACGGACCAACAGAAGTGACGCTGCCGGGGGGAACTGCAGTGAGGGGTCAACACGGACCAACAGAGGTGACGCTGCCAGGTAGGGGGGGCTGCAGTCAGGGGTCGACACGGACCAACAGAGGTGACACTGTCAGGTGGGGGGGAGG